GTTGAACAAGGGTTGATACTTGATACTTCAAGTGTTTAACGGTGCCATGACCATGCATGTTTAAGCTCGTGAAAATGGTCTCTTGGCACTCCATCTATTTATTTTGCTAAAATTAAGCTCTCTATATTAATATTTGTCTCGCTGTTCTCTGGGCTCTGTCATGTGAGAAACACGTTCTATGAACTGTGAGATGATTCAAGTTGGAATTTGGGTTGAATATATGTACGTAGATCAACTCTGGATATAAGCAACAGAAAGTTGTTTCTTAATTTACGGTTGCAGCATTATTGGTCTAGGGTGAAACTTGAAAATTGAAGCCCACTGTACTAAATTTCCTTGCTTGTAGAGAGCTGGAAACTACACTAACTTATCATTGGGTGAGGCATTGTTGAAAGCACGAAGCTATTTTCCAGAGATCTACTGGTATTGGATAGGTGTTGGTGCTTTGCTGGGATACACAGCTTTGTTGAATCTCCTGTTAACATTCTTCCTGGCTAACCTTAACCGTAAGCTATCCTGTTCTATTCAAATTTTATAGATCCTGAACTTCCTTTCCTAGCAAAACATTTAGCATATCTGGTCTAAATACAATTAATTTTATACCTTGTCATTTACTACAGCTCTGGGGAAGCAACAGGCTGTTTTCTCCAAGGAAGAGCTGCAAGAGAGAGACAGGAGAAGGAAGGGTGAAAGCGTTGTTACTGAACTGAGATATTATTTGCAGAATTCAGCCTCAATAAATGGTAACTAATAGACATTTTAGATCTTTATATCTTTTTAATTTGTATCAGCATTCATCCACGCATTTAAGTCTATTCAACTGCTGGGCAGGAAAATATTTCAAGCAGAGAGTAATGGTTCTCCCATTTCAACAACTTTCTATGTCTTTCAGCAATATAAATTACTTTGTAGATATACCTGTGGTATAGTCTGTTGACTTTTTTACCTTTTCTATTTGTTTTGTGGAGATACACATTAGTCAATTTTCCTTATCTATGTATCTTTTCAGGAATTGAAGCAACAAGGAATAACGGAAGAGAGGTTGCAGTTGTTGGTCAATGTTACTGGAGCTTTTAGACCTGGCGTGCTTACAGCTTTGGTTGGTGTCAGTGGTGCTGGTAAAACTGCACTCATGGACTTTTTAGCTGGTCAAAAAACCGGAGGGGTCATAGAAGGGAGCATACATATCTCTGGTTATCCTAAAAGGCAAGAAACTTTTGCAAGAATTTCAGGTTACTGTGAGCAGAATGATATTCACTCTCCTTGTTTGACTGTAATGGAATCACTTCTATTCTCTGCTTGGCTTCGGTGACCATCAGATGTTGGTGCCGAGACATAAAGGGTAATTATAAAAGGCCTTTCGTTTTCTTTTTTCAATTTAATTATATTGTCAGCTTAGTCTATCATATTGACTTATCTAGGGATGAATTTTCAGGCATTTGTTGAGGAGGTGAATGTGATGGAACTGGTGGAGCTTACTCCATTAACTGGGGCATTGATTGGTCTGCCAGGAGTTGATGGCTTGTCCACTGAACAACGAAAGTGCAGTACTGACCAGCAGGGCTATTTTCCAAAGGATGAAGAACTACACTGTAAACCACATCGAAGCTTAATTTTGTTTGCAATTTACAGTCCTTTACTCCACGGGGAAAGTGTTTCTAACTTCGTCTCTTGTTCCTTTCGACTTCTATAGATCTATGCTGTTTCAATTACCATTCGTATCGTGGTAAGTATATACAGACCTGCTGAGACTTGAACAATAATAATTGTAAATAATTTTACAAATGGATTAACTTATTCATATTCATTTTTGGCAGTTTGGCTTCATGTTTATAGCCTTGATATGGAAGTTTGACTTTGCACCCTTCATGGTTTTAATCATTGCCATACTAAATGATGGTGAGATGAGTTTTATCAGACTATTATTACTTTAATATGTCTTTGTAAAAGCCACCAAGAAACCTACCATTGTCTTGTATCTGAGTTATTTCATCATCACACACATCTATAGGTACAATCATGACAATTTCCAAGGACAGAGTAAAGCCATCTCCACAGCCTGACAGCTGGAAACTCAAGGAGATTTTCTCAACTGGCATTGTGCTTGGAGGTTACTTAGCACTAATGACAGTTTTATTCTTCTGGGCAATGAAAGACACCGATTTCTTCTCTGTAAGTTCAGTTTTACCTAATTTATGCCTTATTTTGATGCGTTTTTCTTTTGATTTTGCTAAGTTTCCTTTCTTATATTTCAGGACAAGTTTAATGTTAGGCCACTGAGGGATAGTCGGACAATTGAAACAAAATGGAAACCTCCTCCTTTAGATGTAATCAAGGTAAACTTCGATGTTAGTTTCAATCGAGAAGAAAATACAAGCTGGTCAGGAGTCATTATAAGAAATAGTGAGGTCTACGAAATGGGGGCTTGCAGAAGACAGACCTGGCGAATAACTTGTCCATTCGTCGCCGAAGCAGTTGCCAACCCTTCTATAGTCTTCATGGATGAGCCCACATCAGGATTGGATGCTAGGTCAGCTGCCATCGTAATGAGGACTGTCAGAAACATTGTGAATACTGGACGAACAATCGTGTGCACTATCCATCAGCCCAGCATAGACATTTTCGAATCCTTCGACGTGGCCTCTTTCTCTTTAAAATTTTGGTTGAGAGATTACATAACCTTATGACACGCACATATATGATGGCAGCTTCTTTTTTAATCTATGATTGCAGCTTTTATTTATGAAGCGCGGAGGAGAGTTCATATATGCTGGTCCACTTGGCCCCAAGTCTTGCGAACTCATGAAGTATTTTGAGGTCAGATTCTGATTGCTTATCTCCTATATGTTTCCTCGTTGTTCACTGAACTATGAACTTGGCCACTGTCAAAAGAAAAAAGGAAGTTGGTTTCATTCATGCTGACTCTATTGTCTTTCTAGGCAGTTGAAGGAGTGCCTAAGATCAAACCTGGCTATAATCCTGCTGCTTGGATGCTTGAGGTTACTTCAACAGCTGAAGAAAATCGATTGGCCGTGGACTTCGCAGAAATTTATCGAAAATCAAATCTATTTCAGTAAGGGATGCTTATTTCGGAATTCGAGCTGTTGCATTTGCTTATTCATTTAGTGTTTTAGTTCTAACCAGTAACCATTTTTCAAAAACTTCATCTAATTTCGTTGCACTACTTTGTTTCAGGCGCAATAGGGAGCTGGTTGAAAGCCTAAGCAAGCCAAGTAGCAACACAAAAGAATTGAACTTTCCATCCAAGTATTCCCAGTCCGTTTATAAACAGTTCTTAACATGTCTTTGGAAGCAGAATTTATCTTATTGGCGAAACCCCCAATATACAGCGGTTAAATTCTTCTATACTGTTGTCATCTCGTTGATGCTTGGAACAATATGCTGGAAATTCGGTTCGGAAAGGTTTACTACTTAGCATCCTTTTAAATCCAGTTGTCCTTGGAAAACAACAAAGCGAACATTTTCGTTTTATGCATTTCCAGTTTGTTAACGGATTGCCTTCCGTGCCTTAAATGCCATCTTCCATTATGGTTAGCTCATCTCTACTTATAGTCTATTGTTTCACTCACAGGGAGAGCCAGCAAGATTTATTCAATGCCATGGGGTCCATGTATGCCGCAGTCCTCTTCATTGGTAACACAAATGCAACTGTGGTTCAACCCGTTGTTTCCATCGAGAGATTTGTTTCATACTGAGAAAGAGCCGCCGGAAAGTATTCAGGCCTAGCCTTTGCCTTCGCTCAGGTCGATCTCCGATTTTCAGCCATTACACATGATCCAAAAATGTATTCATCCTTTGATCCATTCTGCTACTTCTCTGCAGGTTGCCATTGAGCTCCCGTATGTTTTTGCACAATCAGTGATTTACTGTTCGATCTTCTACTCCATGGCCTCATTCGAATGGAGTGCTTTGAAGTTCATTTGGTACTTATTCTTCATGTACACAACTTTGTTATATTTCACCTTTTACGGAATGATGACGACCGCCGTCACACCGAACCACAACGTGGCCACCATCATCGCCGCTCCGTTCTATATGCTTTGGAACCTTTTCAGCGGCTTTATGATCCCCCACAAGGTAACGAACCGATGAACTGTTTTATCGTTTCTCCACCTTTGCCTACTCTGCCATGTATAAAATAAATGACGTGTGTAATTCTGCAGAGAATCCCTATATGATGGAGATGGTATTACTGGGCCAACCCCATAGCCTGGAGCTTGTATGGCCTCGTGATTTCGCAATACGACAAGATGGTGAAGCTATCGAACGGAGTAGACTGGATGCCTACGCGACTGTTACTCAAGGCAGTGTTCGGGTTTCGGCATGATTTCTTGGGCGTAACTGCTGTTATGGTAGACTTCGTCGTCGTCCTTTTTGCGTTGATTTTCGGTTTTGCTATAGAAGCCTTCAATTTCCATAGGAGAGAGCCTTCAACCTCATGCAGTTCAATTTCAATTAATTACTTTAAAAAAATGATTCCGCGATTAAAACAAAGAAAAAATTACGCTTAATTAAATTATGAAAGTTCGATTCTATCGGTTAACCGAACCAACTGATTGAACACCCTATTCATACTTACCTAAGATTAAAAAAAAAGATTTTGATTAGATTAACCGAGGAACAAATTCGTTGAGTCGATACCAATTATTTTTTCTTCATGTCAATACTGAAATTAGTTATTTTGTCCTTTTATAAAAAAATGATATATATATATATGTGTGTGATATTAAAAAATGTTTAAATTATTAAATTTTGTGAAATTTATAAAAATATATATATAACTTGCAAAAATGTAAAAACTAATAAGGGTAAATGGATAAACTATTACTGAACAAAAGAAACTGCGATTCTTATCAATCCAACAGACAACATTAGCCTTCACAAAAACACATGAATAAATCTCAAAGCTTCAACTTGTTAGGCCTACGTGTGACCTTTTTCTTGGGCAAAAAAAATATCCTAAAAACACCATTTATTTTTGCTGCTTCGAGATTAGTTGACATGTCAGAAAACCCTGTTATATATAGTGTAAGGAACTATACCGGTTTAACGATACCGCGGATGAAAATGCCGCCCGGAGTTTGATCACTTCCAGAGCTTCACACACTTGTCATGGCTAGCTGAGGCTACCATGTGAGTGCTATTCGAGGCTGCCAATGCCGACACTAGACTCTCGTGGGCATGTCGGGTCAAAATTTTGTTCTCGATCATGTTCCACAGCTCCAGAGTCTTGTAACAGCCGATGACCAACAGGGAAGAGTAAGAGGGGTGAAAAACGCAAGTGTTGAATTTGGTGCCACTGCCAGTGCAGCTCAGTTCTTGAACACATTCTCCTTTGCCACCAGATCCAACCGTCCACACTCTCACCAAGTCATCACTTACAGATGCCAAAAACTCACCCGTAGCATCCCAGGAAACAGAATGGACGGTGCTTTTATGCCCCTGCGATGACGGTGCGATGAAAATGATTAGTTAAAATTGAGGCTTAAATGCGTATACTGTTTCGGGGAAATGATGGCATTCCATGTCCAAAATTACAACCAAATGGAATTGCATACAGGATGCCAAATTGTTTAATCAAACCTCTGAAATCTAAATAGAGAAGTTCGAGCACCATGGAGGTACAAGGTTTTAGAGCGTGTGGATTCATATTCATCTAAAGCCTTCGTGGCAAAAGGTATATACAAACGTTCAACAGTCGAAGCACTACATTCATTCTAGTCAAGACCTCTCCTAAGGCCTTGCATCACAAAAAAATCCAGGACCTTGCAACATTATGATCAATTAGTTTTCTTATTCTATATGCGATAAAGCTAGGGTGTAAGTGTATTCCATTAACAATTACTGATACCTCGTTTCATTGTAGGTGACAAAAGGCTAAAATGAAACTAGAAAGTCCCAACTAACCTGTAATTTAGCCCTGCAAACTTGGGCTTCTACATCAAGTAGGGATACGGAATTATCAATTGCAGCTGCAAGAAACCTTCCAACACGAGGCTGAAATCTTATCTGGGATGCACCACCCTGATAAAAGGGGGGAAATGAAGGTATTAACTGTAAAAATAAGATCTACAAAAGAGAAAAAGTAAAACAAGGATACGCATTGTCCAGAACCATTTCCTGAGAATCAATCGTAATGTTATATACCTTCAAAACTCCAGCACAACTACCATTTTTAATGCTCCAATATCGAATCTCATTATTATCGCATGAGCAGATAAGATCATCTTTGGTAGGGTGGAAGTCAAGTGATGTAACAGTTGTCGAATGTCCCATAAAAGTACGAAGTGAATAAGAAGGCTGCAAAATAGAACCAAGCATCCATAAGTCGAGAAATATAATAGAGAACTTCACTTGCAAATTCCAATGAGCAAATGGCTTCACATGACAAAATTTAAAGAAAATGTCTTTATGTTCTCAATGCCTAGCTGTCAGCTCTTTAGGTCATATACTGAAGCAGTTTCCAAAAGTAATAAACCAAAAAACACACAGCAGAATTGGTCAATTGCGAAGCAGCTACAGAGTGTTATTTACTAAAGACCAAGCTCCAATGTGATCATGAGACATTCCATTATAAAAGGATGCATGCTTACTTACATTATCAGCATCCCAGACCCTGACTGTTCTGTCAGCTGAAGAGGTAGCAAGCCTCGACATACTTGAACTGAAACGAACATCAGTTATCCATTGAGAATGTTCTTCAAGTGTTGACTTTAAAGCAAAAGACTCTGTGCACCACAGCGCCGCCTGTGCAATGATGTCATCAAGCAACATGTTTTTTTTATTCTATAGAAAAATTAAAAACTTATAACTGAAGTTTGCCTATCAACCAAAATAAGAGGTTTAAATATCTCATCATCCTGTACCTTTTTATCATGCCCACCAGTAGCAAGCAACTTCTCATCTGCTGAGAAGTGACAACATTCGACTTTACTTGTACTAGCCTGGATAAGCTGGACTTCCATAAATGTTAAACCTGACATTACAGAATTATTAAATACCTATTCATTTGATTTCACTCATTGTATGAAATTTCTGGTAGGCATGCCCCAATAGTAAAAAAACTAACATTAACATACCTTTGCTGACATCACCGTACCAACCAACTCTATCTCTAGGCTCTGGATCATCATGAGACAAGAATGACTCTATGTTACCATCGAGAGACCCATCATCCACGAAACGGTCTATATCAGCCTGTGATGTACTATCTCAAGTTACCCCACAGCAGAATGGAATATCAATCAAAATAACTAGAGGCAATCCGTAAATTTCATCCTATTAGTGCATCCAATCTAGGACTAAACGAGTAGACTGTCAGTTTTAATGGTTTAACTTCTGATAGTATCTCTTCTGAAATCAAGTTATTTAAAATTGATTCTTTAAGTTAAAGAGCCAATCCAAAATAGACACCTCTTTAATATATTGTCTATTTTATATACTTTTTAACCTCTTCGTAGGTTCTCAACTATATTTCCTGCTTGCTCTCAGGTCATACCAAAATCAGAATAAGAATATGATATATACACTTGGGATGCCAACTCATTTGCACCGGGAACTTTCTATAGAAATTAAAAGAACCAAATCCAAATTTCAGCGCAGCACGAAAATAAGATAAAGAAAATACAAAAGCAAGACACCATGTCAACGAAAAAATGGATAGGAGGTTTTACCAATGGATTAGGAGCTGAAGTAAGGGAACCCAAACCATCAGAGCCAAACATAAGCAACGACTTGGAGGAACCACTATTATGTGGCAAAGTGGGCATTGATACAGCATCACCAGGTGTGTGAGTAGAAGGTGAGGAAGGTGAACTTGGAGATGGTCCGGTGGTATTTGCAGTTCCTGAGCTATTGACTGGACCTGATGATGACCCTGGCTGCTTCCGCTTTCGGCCAATTTGATTTTTTGAAACCTTAAGCAAAGATGTAATACTAAAGTTAGAAATGCTGGCTGGATATTGATTTGAAATGCTGGTTTAACTAGCTTGCAAATGAAGTGGTTACGGTAATTCAATCCCAGACCATGAGATAGATCAGAAAGATCCAAAGGTCAAAACTCATAATTACCACGTCTATCTTTTAAAATGTTTAGGTATTTTGGGATAATGAATAATCTACAAACAACAAAAAAAGGGGGGAGAATAACAGATCGGTTTTTGATATGTTAAACCCGGTCCTTTCCAGTAAAGGTGTTTGATATGATACTATCAGGCATCATACTGCAGGTACCAACCATTTTATCTTGCTGTTGGAGTTGGGGATTTGAACTCTGAGACTGCTGACTTGAAAGTGGATTCTGTGCAAATTGTTGTGATTGTTGATGAGTTTGATGCAGTTGTTGCTGCTGTAAACTGAAACATATGAACACCATTAATCAAGGGTGAGGAAGCTACAGTCCTGCAACAGCTCCAAATCTAATGCAAGCATCGAGAATATTAACAATTGTCAATGATGTGCAGCACAGACAAAAATACCTTAACTGGCATATCAGTGTCGCCATGAGACAGAAAAGGAGACCCAATTTGCATAGGTGATCCAACTTTGGGAACCACGTTGCCAAGACAATTTAGTTGGCCATCTTTCCCAAGACCCATAATCTGATTGTTCAGAAGCATACGCATTTTTCTGCTTTCAAAATCATTTGCCGATGGGGATGATAAATTATGTTGTGCTTGAAGAAGAAGTTGTTGCTGTAGCTGAAGCTGACTGAATGGCTGAGAGGACTGAATCATAGTTTTCTGCTGCTGGAGAAGCCCTGATCGTAGTTGGTCCAGTCCCTACAATTGGTAAGATACAATTGGAAAAGTAACTCATATATCGATCTTGCAAGCCTTATTAACTATAAAATAATAAAATTTGAACAACAAACCCACACAAAAAACCTGATACACGTTTTACGCAGAAAAGTCAACAATCATTATAAGATTTCAACCAACAGCGTCGATTTCAATTCTTGTGAATGGGTCTCCTTCGGATGAGTTTCCAATGGCCAAAGGTTTACGACAAGGTTGTAGTCTCTCTCCATTATTGTTTAACATTGTGGGCGAGTTGCTTCATTTGATGCTTTCTAAAGCAGTGGACAAGGGTCTGTTCCAGGGGTTCGTAATAGGGAAAACTGATAATACTACTAAGTTGTCTCATCTTCAGTTCGCCGACGATTTAATCATTTTTTGCCAAGCTTCGATTACTCAGCTCAAGAACGTTAAAAGAGTGTTGAGGATATTTAGTATCATTGCAGGTCTGCATTTAAATTTGGTTAAGAGTAAGCTTTTTGGAATTAACATGGAGGAAGATGAATTAACAGACTGGGCATCACAAGTGGGTTGCTCAGTAGGTTCCTTTCCAACAGAATATTTGGGTCTTCCCCTAGGTGCCAAGAAGAATTCAGAGGCTCTATGGGATCCAGTTTTTAGGAACTTTAGTGCCAAACTTGCTGGGTGGAAAGCTTCATGTCTGTCATTGGCCGGTAGGACAGTTTTATTGAAGTCGGTGTTATCCTCCTTACCAATTTTTTTCTTATCTTTGTTTAAAATGCAATGCAAAATTGGTAAGAAGTTAAACTCGTTAATGGCCAATTTCCTATGGGGTGATAAAGAGGAAAAGAGGAGAATCCACTAGGAGAACTGGAGTTCGGTCTGCAGACCATTAAATTGTGGTGGATTAGGTGTTCTTGATTTGAACCTCACTAATCGGGCTCTACTAGGCAAGTGGGTGTGGAAATTTGCCAATGACAAAAATTCCCTTTGGAAAGGCGTGTTGTGCAGCAAACACAAGGTCAGCCGCAGTTCAATGTCTATTAGGGAGGTATCTCATCCTCAATCATCTTGGATTTTGAGAGGAATAGCTAATAACTATTTGAAGAATGATTCGGTAGGAGATTGTCTCAGGTCAAATTCGAAATTGAAAGTAGGAAATGGCAAGTCTATTTCTTTTTGGAATGACGTTTGGGCAGATGAGTGTTCTCTGAAATTCCTTTTTCCAAGAATTTTTGTGCTCTCTCCTAATAAAGAGGGGAAAGTTGAGGAGTTTGGCAGCTTCGAATCGAATGGTTGGGTGTGGAATGTCCAGACTAGGAGAAATTTGTGTGATTGGGAATTGGTCCAATGGTTGGAGTTGATGTCTAAGTTGAAGGATATTCAACTTTCAGAACTTGTGGATGATTTTTTATCGTGGACCGCTAGTGGAGATGGATTGTTCTCAATTAAATCTTGTAGAAACACTCTTGGTAATATGTCTGGGGGTACTGTTGTGTGGACGAAAGGGGTTTGGTTGGGCTTTGCACCACCTCGGGTGGAAGCTTTCCTTTGGCAGCTTGCTCACCAGAAAGTAGCAGTCAAAGTTGAGTGGTTAAGAGAGGTCTACCCCTAGGGGAGGATATTTTGTGTCCATTTTGTAAGAAACAGGAGGAATCTGTGCAACATCTATTCATCACTTGTAATGTTGTTTGGGAACTATGGAATAAAGTAGCTAGTTTCTGGGAAATTGTTATGGTTCTACCACAAGATCCTCCTTCTCTTCTTTGTTCCTGGGGTGAGTTGAGGGAGAAATCTACGATTTGGAAGTTTATTCTGGGAGTCATTTTTTGGTCTATATGGAAACATAGGAACGCAATGGTGTTCGAAGGAATTCTTTTAGACAGAGTGTCACTGTTCTTCATTGTTAGATTCAGGCTTGCTAAATGGTTCCATGCCAAATTTCCGGGTATTAATATACAAGAGGATGTGCTGATTGGTAATCCATCTCTTGCAGATGGTGTTTCATCTTGTAATGTTAAAGATCGTATTGTCTTTCGGTGGTTACCCCCCCCAGTAGACTTCCTAAAGATGAATGTCGATCGAGCTGTTAGGCAGAACGATTCGGGTGGAGGTATCGGAGGCTTATTAAGAGATTGGAATGGTTGCACTCTTTTGATTTTCTCAGAGAGTATTGCTCAAGCAATCCCCCCACTTGCTGAATTAAAGCTATAAAAAGAGGCATGGATATTTTTCTGTATTCTCGGTGGGCTTCAGTTGGTAGGTTGATCGTTGAAAGTGATTGCTCGTCTGCAGTGGAATGGATTCAGTCCCCGACTCTGGCACCTATTTTTTCTCGCCTATTGTTTATCAGATTTCGAGTCTTATCTGTGAAAAGGTTCATTCAGTAAGGTTGATTCCAAACGAGTGTAACGGAGAGGCAGATAGCTTAGCAAAGAAAGGGATAGGTTGATTGTAAGGGTCTATTTGTGGTTTTCTTGACCAAGTGTGTAGGTTTTTATGTTGGGAGGAGGAGTGTTTAAGTCTTATGTCAAGCAATTTAGTGCTATTTTTAACTTTTATGTAACTTTCAATATTAATAAAAGTTCCAAGGCACTCTTTTCCTCCTTCCTATGATTAACGACCTTTCTTCAAGGTCTTTAAATTAAGAAGGGGGTTTTTAACGAGGCCTTTCATTCCTATCAAAAAAAATTATAAGATTTCAACCATAGATAACAGGACTAAATCATCTCAGTTGTTCTACTCCACTCTCCTTTCCACAAGATGGATTTGGAAAGAATAATATTTAGTTCTATGGACTATAATTGTACAAATAAACTAATCTTCATCATGTATCCATTAGACAAAGTTACTTCAGCAGCTATCAATGGGGTAATCCATATCCCACACATACCCTTCAACCAAGGCATAAAACTTCTCTTGAAGCAGAATAGAGAAAGTTTTGGTATCCAAAGTACTGGAAATTAGTTACAGGAAATCAGAAAATCTAGCTTAAACATCTTTTTTTATTCAGGAAGAGATGCGCAAGTGCTCTTAGCAAATGATATGTTCAAAAGAGATCCCTAACATAGCATGTTCCATCATTTAGCAAGAACATTCATCGTCTTCACATGAAACTGTGAATATGGAGGAAACAGCAACTTCATATCAACTCTACATTAAAAGACTTACGGTTAAAGGCCATCCTTTCAGTGTCAAATTGCCACCAGCTTGATTTGATCCTGAAGAATGATACAAGTTAATAAAAGCAATAATTTATACCTTAAGAAGCAAATCTCTTGGGGTGAAAATTTTTACCATGAACTCCAACTAATGATCCATCAGGACCAGCAGCTCTTTGAGTCAACATTGAATTGATCTCACTCCTTGAATCCTGCATCAGCATACAGAATATAAAACAACCAAAGGTATTTAAAGGCTGACAAAAACTGCAATCTAAGTTAATAAAAAAATATACAAAAAAGAATAAAATGACAATTAAAAACCTGGGTGGGAACTGAAACCTGCTGAGCTCGATTCTGCATTTGCTGAAGACTTCCTGATATATTTCCAGGTGTGCCATGCAGTGTTTGCCTGCAAGTATACCACTAACAGTTTTTACACAGCACAAACATGACAAAAGAAAATAATAAATGATCCTTTTAAAACAAAAAAACACGAGAATTGAGAAGTACCCGGGAGGCTGGCCAATCATTGAGGCTGCTTTCATGATTGAAGCTTGATTAGGATCCAGAAGCTGGCCCAAATTATCACCTAGTTGCTGCAATTTATCTGATGTCAAAAAATGCAAGAATGGGCGAAAAAGGATGGAACCAATTCCTATCAAGCTAATGTACCTTCACAGCTGGTTCATCCAAGGAATCCCTTTGGCGTGGAAACCTGAAACTCTCGTCATACATCTTTCTTGTGGATGCAATTGCACTCGCAGTGCTATCCTTCATGAGAGGTTCACCGACAAGGCCATTGGCAGCATCGTTTGTTAACTGAGTCCCTTCCCTTCGCTGCTGTTGTTGTTGCTGCTGCTGCTGAACATGCCTCTGCAATAAGAGCTGCTGCATCTGCTGCATCTGCTGAGGCTTCTGATACTGTTGTTGTTCTCGAGCTTCAACCATTTGAGTCTGCCATTCTCAAACAATTCAATTAAACAGCACAAACTTGCTCAACTAACTCGCAGAAAAACAGCAATCGCAAGATGCAGAAACACACCTCAATATAAGAAGCAGCAACTTCTGAATGCTTCTCGTTTGTCCGTGCGATGAATATATCCCAAAATACAGACCACCACTCGAACAGAAAACCACCAGGCGCATCGATAGCTGGAAAACACATTAAAAAAATCAGAACCATTAAGTTTTCAAAAAACCATCTTTCAAAGCAAGAAAAGAAAAGAAAAACACATCATACCTACTGGATCAGTTGACACTTTCCCTTCAGCTTGAAATGCCTTTGCAGTAGCATTTAACTTCCTCTTCATCAGGTAATCATATATATACACATCCAACCTGTGCTCATAAGGAACAAACTTTAAAATTTCAGCTTTCATTAGCCAAAAGATAATATATTACTACATAAAGCTAGAAGCTTCAACAAGCAAAACCCTTCATTCGAACTCAAAAGCATTTGAAAAAAAAAACAAATAATGCTATCAGCTCTGCTCCATTGTGTACGATACTCTCAACAATAAAGGTGGAACAACAATGGGAAAATTTAAGAACCATTTTCATTGGTCTCCAACAAAACCCTAAATCAGTACATGGTACAAAATGAAAACTTTCATCAACACCCATCAAACAGTGAGGCTAAAACTCGAAACCCATGCTCAAAAAGAAGAAGAAATGAAATAAAAGAAACCCAAAAAGCAAAAAAAAAAACAGAGGAAAATAACTTACATTTTATCAGCTTCCCAGTTAGTCTGCGACATAGTTGTAAAATTTGATTTTTAAAGGTTGGGTCTTTAAAATCCTTGAACCCCTAAACAATGCAGGGAACTTGGTTAGGTAATCTAAAGCGATGAGTGTTCGATCATGCGAGGAAATGGTATAAGAAAATGGTTGACTACACTTTCAAGCAACCAGCGTCTCTCACATTTATATTAATTGTATTTAGAATCAATATATAATTTTTAAAGTAGATTTATTATTTAGTAGTTTATGGGGATTGGTACAAAATCTGGAAATTACATTAATTTTCACTTAATTTTATTTTTTCTCTTATTTTACGCATTATATTTTAGACTCGTTCAAATTTTTTACTGAATTTAACACATTTAGCACTTTTGGTCGCTCGATCATTTTTTCACTAAACGATGTTATAAACGAATTGTTATATAGATGCAAAACGACGTTATTTTGGTGAAAACTTTATTTTTCCAAAACAGCATCATATTAATGTCACGGAGAGCAAGGAGACAGCAACAGAGAACAAAGACGAAAGAAGAAAAACGAAGGAAGACAAAAAGCTACAACGATCCCAATCAACAGAGTAAAATTCAGTGATGGTTGATGTAATTTACCCTAGTTTATTATTTAAATAGGACATGTAATATATATTAAAAAGATTTAAGTATCTTATTTTGAGATATATATAAAAGGAAAGAATTCGCTCGTATCATATAAAATTTTCCTTAAAATTTTGTCAATAAATATGAGATCATGATATTATATTTTATATTGTTTATTCATAAGTTAGGGTAAATTATGTGTTTAGTATCTAAATTATCAGTTTTGGTATATTTTAGTACCTAAACTTTTAATTTTTCAAAACCATACTTAAAGTTTAGTTTTTATTTCATTTTAATACCTCGTTCAAATGTTAAGTTTTGAAAAAAAAATGAAAGTTTATTTACTAAAATGGATCAAAACTGATAGTTTAGATACTAAACGCATTGAGTTTTTAATGGTAGGTACTAAAATGAAACAAAAACTAAAATAATAGGTGTGATTTTAAAAGAATTGAAAGTTTAAGTTCTAAAATTGATCAAAATTAATAGTTTATATACTAAATGTGTATTATCATATAAGGTTTTAGATTTTTCAATGTACGGGTACAATGGGACAATTATAATAAGGGTAAACTACATCAAATACCACCAAACTTTTGGTGTTTATCGTTTATACCATTAAACTTTCAATTTTCTCAATTATATCAATGAACTTTGATTTTCGTTGTAATTATATCACTGAACTTCTAAATTGTTAACAACGTGATGACATGGTTGACGGTTTTCGGCGTAGACACCTCACCAAAACGACATCATTTTGGTACAATTGTTAATAATTTAACGGCTCATTGGTATAATTGAAACGAAAATTAAAGTTTTGTGCTATGATTGGCAAAATTGAAAGTTTAATGGTATAAATGATACAATGTCTGAAGTTTGAAGATATTTAGTGTAGTTTACCCTAATAATAATAATAAAGGTAAACTACATCAGATACCACCAAACTTTAGGTGTTGTATCATTCATACCATTGAACTTTTAATTTTGCCAATTATAGCATTAAACTTTGATTTTTGTTTCAATTATACCACTAAATTATTAAATCATTAATGACATGATGATGAGGCTGATGAATGACATGGCTGGTAGTTGTCGATATAACACCTCATCGAAATGACACCGTTTGGATCGGTTGTTAATGATTTAACATCCAGTGGTATAATTAAAATGAAAATCAAAGTTCAGTGCTATAATTAACAGAATTGAAAGTTCAGTGGTGTAAATGATACAATACCTAAAGTTTGGTGGTATCTGATGTAGTTTACCTAAAATAATGATAATAAGGTAAAAAGGATGATCGTCCTGCTATTTCTACTCTTTTTTATTTTATCTTTCATTTTTGTAAACTCGAGATTCCTTGTAAATCCCCTGTCACCACACTCTCATTCTCTTTCTTTGATGGTTTCTATCCGAAAAATCATTTTTGGTCCCGTCCTAACTAAGACGTCGGCCGAAACAATAGCAAAATAAAGCCCCATTTTTCTTCATTTCTTTCGTGTTTCATTATTCAACTCAAATATCAAAATGGTCGTAAATTTTATATGTGCTTTTTTGTTTTAGTTCTGATAATATGTTTTGGAGTGAACTCTGAACCAGTTCAAGACAAGCAAGCTCTCATTGCTTTCCTTTCACGAACCAAACACGAGAACCGAGTTCAATGGAACTCATCGACCCCAGCCTGTGACTGGGTCGGCATCGAATACGACGCCAAACAGAGTTTTGTCTTCACTCTTTGGCTACTGGGTGTGGGCCTCGTCGGTTCTATTCCGCCCGACACAATCGGTCGGTTGATCCTGTTAACTATAGCTTGAAGCTTAGAAAGAATGAACAAGAAAGAAATCCTAAAACATGGAATTTATTCATTATGATTTTACAGAAATGTGCAGCTATTTAAAGCTGTGTATGAATAGCTGCATGAACGGTTATAACTAACCTATAACCGTCTACCAGCCTAACCGAATATGGTTTAACATTCACACTGCTTCTTACAAACTTCCTTCAACTCAAAAACACACAGTTTACTTCTAAACAAATCAAATTTGAGCAAGGGAATAGGCTTTGTTAGAATGTCTGCTACTTGGCTACTAGTGGATACATAGTTGATTTGAACTTCACGAGCTGTCACCTTTTCACGCACAAAATGTAAGTCTAGCTTGATGTGTTTACTCTTTGTATGCAGTATGGGTTTGCTGCCATAGCTACTACACTGGTGTTGTCACACCACACCTTGGGCTCTTCGGGCAGTGTAACGTTCATCTCATTCAGCACAGCCTTAATCCACACGACTTCAGAGGTGGCATCAGCAAGGCTCCGGTGTTTGGCTTCTGCAGTGGACCTGGATACTGCACGTTACTTTTTTAAGCTCCATGCCAGCAGATGGTTCCCATTGTAGACACAATATCCAGAGATCGACCTCCTGTCATTAGTATATCCTCCCCAATCCGAGTCTGAAAAAGCATTGAGTGCCACCATCTTTTGTGCTTGAGTTAAAAACCAGAGGCCAGTCTCTAGTATCCTCTTAAGTACCTCAGTATGCATTTTACAGCAAGACAATGTGCCTCAGTGGGCTCTTGCTGGAACTGTGTTGCTTTATTGACTGCAAAAGAAATGGATGGCCTTGTATGACAGATGTACTGCAGTGCCCCTACTACACTTCTATACTGATGAGGTTTGCTTAACACTTCCCCATCGTTCTTACTAAGTTTCATTGTTGTTGCCATGGGAGTAGATGTTGAGTTTACATTCAGCATTTGGTTCTTTTATAGCAACTCGGTGACAAACTTCTTCTGGCTGAGGAACAAGCCATTGTCTGACCGATGAACTTCGATACCAAGGAAGTACTTAAGCTACCCAAGATCATTCAAGGAGAATTTCTCATGTAGTGCATGAATAATTTGATTGATTTCAAGTTGAGAGCTCCCTGTGATGAAGATATCATCCACATACACCACCATGTATACGACTTCACAATCTACTTGTCGAATAAACAATGAGGAATCTGCTCTCGAGGGCTTGAATTTTAAGCTAAGCAAGAATTCTCTTAGCTTAAGAAACCAATTTCTTGGAGCTTGTCTCAGGCCATACAATGCCTTCTTCAGTTTGCACACTAGAACAACTCCATCACTAGACTGTTCCTCAAAACTAGGAACTTGTTGCATATATATATCCTCGATTAGATCACCTTTTAGAAAGGAATTGTTCATACCCACTTTATTTGCCAGTGGCATGAAACAACCAGTGAAAGCAATATGTTTATTGTGAAAAATCAAACCACAGGACTGAATGTGTCCATAAAATCATAGCCTGGTATTTGGGAATACCCCTTGGCAACCAGTCTAGCCTTCAATCTTTCTACTGAGCCATCAGCATTCTTCTTCACCCTGAAGAGCCAATGGCTTTCCTACCAGCTGGTAACTCCACAATTTCCCATGTGTTATTGCTAAGAAGTGCATTGTATTCAACCATAACAATTGTCCTCCAGTCATAATGTTTGAGAGCATCTCAAATATCACCAGACACTTCCTTACATTTAGCTGAATAGATTTTTGGTTTAAAAAACCCATGCTTGCTTCGAGTTATCATAGCGTGAGTGTTGGTAATTCTAACATCTAGAACATTTTCTTTATTCTGAGCTTGCTCATGCTGAGAAGATGCAGCTTGATCATGTTGGGAATAAGCATAGGCATCAGATTCAAGAGCATGAGAGCCCGATTCATTATTTATTGATTGTTCTTCAGTATACATGCAGTTCATCGCCTGCAGCTGCATATTGGTATGTACTGCTAGCTTCAATCGTTTGACCAATACCAACTCCAGCATTAATACTTGATCCTAGGGCAGTCTGGCTTGCTCGTGTGGACTGAAAACAACTGGAATGACCCTCGATCGAACAGCTAGGAAGACACATAAATTCTTAAAGAATACCCTAGGAAGACACAAGCCCTGATGCATAGGAGAGTACCATGATCATCCATGCATTGATAGCCCTGATGCATAGGAGAGTACCCTAGGAAGACACAAGCCTTGGATCGAAAATCCAACTTGTGAGTATTGTACATCTGAGATTAGGAAAGCACTGGCATCCAAAATTTTTAAAGAATATGTAATCAAGAGGCTTATTATATAGCTTCTGATAAGGAGACACATTACCAAGGTTCTTTAATGACATCCTGTTGATGAGGTATACAACACTAAGAACTGCATGAGACCAAAAGGTTAAAGGCATTGAAGCTTCTGCTAGCAGAGTCAAGGTAGTTTCAACTATGTGCCTATGTTTTCTTTCCACCACCCCATTTTTTTATGAGGTATGTGGGCATGTTTTCTTGAGTTTAACACCTAATTTTCGTGAGATAACTTATAGGAATCGAAACTCTCCTTCATTGTCTATTTGTAAAGCAAAAATTGTAGTTTTAAACTGATTAGAAACCAAGGCTGAGAATACTTCAAAAGACACAACAACTTCACTTTTATTCCTTAGCAAATAAACTCA